TATATATATTTTTTTTTATTGAAAGCCTCTTAAATCTTCTATCAATCTTTTACACTTTAATTTCAGACCACCAGAATAAACTGTAATCATGTGTGATGATGATGAGACTACCGCACTTGTGTGCGACAATGGCTCTGGCTTGGTTAAGGCTGGATTTGCTGGAGATGATGCTCCCCGAGCTGTCTTCCCTTCCATTGTTGGAAGGCCCCGCCACCAGGTACAGTGAATATAAATGCTATCCTAATAAAGAAAAAGGCATCATTTTTAATCTTTGTAAAATATATATACATATATTTGTTTTTTAGGGTGTGATGGTGGGAATGGGTCAGAAGGACAGCTACGTGGGTGATGAGGCCCAGAGCAAAAGGGGTATCCTGACTCTGAAATACCCGATTGAGCATGGTATCATCACCAACTGGGACGACATGGAGAAGGTGTGTGTTTGTTGATAAAGAGATTACTTAAAGCTTGAACAACAGCTGAGCTTTTACGTCCCTTAAAATTTACAGTCAAATCCACCCCATTTAAAACAAGAGGCTTTATTTTTAGATTCCCAGCCAGCAGTTGTTGCCGATCCAATGTCAGCTGCTTGTTTTTTTCCCCCTCTTTGTCAGATCTGGCATCACACTTTTTACAATGAACTGCGTGTAGCTCCTGAAGAGCACCCCACCCTCCTCACTGAAGCCCCACTGAACCCCAAAGCCAACAGGGAGAAGATGACTCAGGTAATCAGAGTTCTGTCCAAATATTTCACTGACTCTTGTCCTCTAGTTGAGACATTTTTTCCTCTGATCAATTAACTCTGCAGATTATGTTTGAGACCTTCAACGTTCCTGCCATGTATGTGGCCATCCAGGCTGTCCTCTCTCTGTATGCTTCTGGTCGTACCACTGGTGAGTAATTTTTTTCACATGTTCCAGCCTTCTGCTATATGGTTGGGAGTTTTTTAAACAGCACTTTAATATGCAAGTCTTACTTTATTAAAGGAAGCATGCATCCTTCACTTATCGTTGCTCTTCTTGTCCTGCTTAAGGTATTGTACTGGACTCTGGTGATGGTGTGACCCACAATGTCCCGATCTATGAGGGTTATGCTCTGCCCCATGCCATCATGCGTCTTGATCTGGCTGGCCGTGACTTGACTGACTACTTGATGAAGATCCTGACAGAGCGTGGCTACTCCTTCGTCACAACCGGTAGGGAGATATAATGCATTTGTTAGAGAGGCTGATGTTGTTTTCCTCACAACTCAAACTATGTATCTCTTAGCTGAGCGTGAGATCGTGCGAGACATTAAGGAGAAGTTGTGCTACGTGGCTCTTGACTTTGAGAATGAGATGGCCACTGCTGCCTCCTCTTCCTCCCTGGAAAAGAGCTATGAACTGCCTGACGGTCAGGTCATTACCATTGGTAATGAACGCTTCCGTTGCCCAGAGACCCTCTTTCAGCCCTCTTTTATTGGTGAGTTTGTATGGGTGCATTGTCAATGAATGTATACTATTTCAATATTTGCTTATCCTAAAAAATGTTATATACTTTTTTTTCCCTCAAGGCATGGAGTCTGCTGGAATACATGAAACTGCATACAATAGCATCATGAAATGTGACATTGACATCCGTAAGGACTTGTATGCCAACAACGTGCTTTCTGGTGGTACCACAATGTATCCTGGTATTGCTGACCGTATGCAGAAGGAGATCACAGCCCTTGCCCCTAGCACAATGAAAATCAAGGTGAGAGAAGCATGAAGGTTTTTAATTAACCACACAATCGTGGTGCAATTACAACTTCAGTGAGACTCAAGATTATCTATATCCCACCTAGATCATTGCTCCCCCTGAGAGGAAGTACTCCGTCTGGATTGGTGGATCCATCCTGGCTTCCTTGTCCACTTTCCAGCAGATGTGGATCAGCAAACAGGAATACGATGAAGCTGGCCCTTCAATTGTCCACAGGAAATGCTTTTAAACCAGTAGTCACCCGCTTCCATCCATACATTTGTACGTCATGCCGTGTTGTATATACATGTCTATGCAATGTTGTAATAAAGACAAGCTTTTGAGAGAGTACCTGAATTATTAAATGACCAAATCCAACATAAAAAAGCTAGATCCCTAGTCTTGCCCTTTCTGCTGATATAGAAAGGTACATTATACATTATACAGTGCTCAACAAAACTTTCCATAACTCTTGAATGTTTTTACTTTTTTTTCAAGTTACAAACCCAAATTTGACAGTTTTATGATGTTATATGAAAGTCCATAGCAAAGTGCCCATTTGCGACAGTCTATGGGTGAGAGGCGGGGTACATCCTGGACAGGTCGGCAGTCTGTTGCAGGGCAACACAGAGACGTCCTAATAATAAAATGTGGTAGTGAAATGAAAGTGGTGGGGGGTTAGCCAACTGGCCCAACTGGTCTTTGATTAATTTGTTTAGAAAATAGAAAATGACATGCCCTATAAAGTACCTGACTTTATTATGTCAGTTCGATAATAATACAGAAATATATTTGTACGCCATTGCATGGGGCATTTTGTTTTTGTTATTTTATTTTTGTTATAAAGATAAATACATATATGTATTAAAATATAACAGTCTTAAGAAAGAGTTTGTGAATTAAACTCCTATATGTTTACATTAATTATAAAGCATACCTGTACTACGCATACATTTTTATATAATAGAAAATCCCTTTATTGTCCCACAATGGGGGAAAATCTGGTGTTTACAGCAGCAAAAAGATTATAGAAAAAATGGTCACACAATTGTTGACCTTATAAAAATTATTAAGTAACCTACAACATATTAGTAAAGAATTAAAAAATAAACAATAAAATACTGCACTGTAAAGTGTTTTAACAATATAAATGCTGTGCACCTGGATAATAAATTACCAACATACAACTATGGACATTTTTACAGTAATGGATATTTGAAAATAGCAGCAACATCAGAGATGTGCAAAATGACTGCAGCATGTTATTTAACTGATTACGATACGAAGTGAGAAGTTCATTATTTTCATCAACAAATTATATTTTGCAGGCGCAAGTTATAATTCCCTGTGAAAAGTATGCCTAGTTTGAGCTACAGCATAAACCGGATTTACAGTTATGATTGCTCTAACAACATTCCATTAGAAATATTTCATACATTATTCAGAATAAAAAAATATGGGTTTGATTCTTATATTTGTGTGGGTTCACATACATCACATATTGGAGTAGTACGAAACGAGAGGGCAGATAAAATAGCAAAAGAGGGCAATTCAAAATCCTATTAGTTTTACAGTTAAAACAAGTAAATCGGAGGGAAAGAGTATTATTAAAGAAAAACTGATGGAAAATAGCAAAAAAGGTGGGATGAAGAAAAAACAGGAAGGTGGTTTTATAAAATTCAGAAGCTAGTAGGAAAAGAAGAAATTAAAGACGCAATAGAAAGGAGAGAGCGATAACAAGGTTAAGATTTGGGCATACAGGACTTAATTATACACTTTTCAAAATTCAAAAGCATGCTAAAAATATGAAACAATAGAATATGTTATACTGTAATGTCATAAATATGAAAGTGAGAGAAGATATATGAGGAGAGTTTGAATGTATTAAGGAAATTATTAATTTATTAAATATTTTGAGGAAGAATCTGGGGAGTAAACATATACAAATAATTATTCGATTTTTAAAGAAAGCGAAATTATTTAATAGAATTTGATTATAGAGAGGGTGAATTTGTGTATGATATAGACAGATGGAATACAAAGTTATATATAAGTATGTAGTGTTTTTTTTTTCCTTAGAAATTATATATATGTTTGTTAGTAGATAGTCCATCACGAACCACACTCCATACCAGTAAGTGGCGGTAATGCTACTAAATGTTTGTTACCAACCACCAATAAATTCAATAAGAAGAATGTTATTGCTCTAGTGCTGTCCTATTGCACCGCCCAGCCAAGGAGACCCAGGATGATAAAACACACATCCAGAAGGATAAACTATTTGAATGGTTTCCGTCCAATCAGAGCGCAGAGCCCAAGGCACAGTGCCGTTTGAATGTATTCAGGAAATGAGCAGCCAGTTTCGCAACCGGTCTTGAGGATGGTGTTATTTTACTGTTAGCTTATTGAGGCTTTTAAATAGCTCTAACTTGATTCTCTAAGTTCTTGTTAAAATATATATTTTTTAAAGGTTTGTTTGTAACTTAAAGCTATGTTTAATCGCTTGGACTCTCTGAAAAACGAACATTACTAATAAGATATGTAGCTAGCGTTTGTTGGTTAGCTTGACGACTGCAACGTATGCGGAATCTAGCCTCTATAGATACTTATCATTATGTAAAATTTGCTGCCAGAATCTTCTGACAGTGACACTTTTTGTTTCGTGTTGAGCTTTTGGATGATTACTAGTTTTTATACGTTCAACTTTACATTAATTGAGAGATCCGAGGAAGCGATTCTGTTGGAAAAACTGTGTTTTTAGGTGGAGCTGGATCCCGTTTGCTTTTTTTTTCCGCAACGGGGGAGAAAGTGAACAGCTGCACAGAGCATTTATTTGAGTAATTCGCTTGAAAAACATGAAAGTCATGGAGAAAAATGTGATGCGTTTAGCGGCTGTTCAGCATCTCCGCGCTGCTTATGGGATAAAAATAAAGAACTGGAACAAAAACAAAGCAGCAAGCTGTAAGACGACAGCCAATTCGGTAAGATAACATTTAATCGTTATTTATTATGAGGAATATGCATTAGATTTGCAGTGGTTACGGTTTGTTTGACACTTTGGATAACTTTAGCCTTCATTATTCTTTTGTATGCGATCAATTAGCATTTGTAAGGGGAAAAAAGGAGCAGATGTTTTCACACGACACTCACTGCTCTTGTTGATTACAAGCAGCATTGATTTTTAGATCCAGCAATGTAAATAAATAAAAATAACGTCGCACCAACAATCACCAATAATTAAATTCATATTTTGCTGAGCTTTTAGACACTTTCGAAATGTATAGAACGGAAGTCATCACCGCATGACCTACTTCTTAAAAACCTTTAGCTATGTATCAGCAGGGAGTTAAGCAATGACTGCCTCAATTTTAGAAATGAATGGTATCTGGAATCAGTAGAGGCACAGAAAATAAAAATCAAAGAATTTAAAGATTTTGGATGTTTAAAAAAACAGCATCTTCTTCTCTTTTTAAATCACCTTGTACAGTATTTTACAACAATCTGTTACATTTTGTTCCTGTAAATCAGGTTTTTCAACCCTGCTCATCAAGGCACACTGCTCTGCATGTTTTGGATGTTTCTGAGCTTCAGCCCACCTGATTCAGATGATTGCAGTTCAGCAAAGCCTGATAATCTGCTATCAATTGATAACAGGTATGTGAAAGCTGGGAAACATCTAAAACATGCAGAGCAGTGTGCCTTGAGGACCAGGGTTGAAAAACACTGTAAATCACCCGCCAATACGGATGTGAAAAGCTCTAAAACAGGGGGTCCCTTTAAGAGCTACCATCCTCTAACTCTTATGGTACATGCATCTCTTCTCTAACACACCTGAATCTAAAGGCTCAATCCCAGCATTTAGCTCAGCAGAGGCATGGTAGAACCACTCTTTTGATTCAGGTGTGTTAAAATGGGGTGCATCAAAAAGCTGCAGTTTAGCAGCTCTTAAGGAGGGTACTTGACCACCCCTGCTCTAAAATAATTCTGTTCCTCTGGTTGCAAATCCCTTTTTAAAAGATGACAAAGAAAAATATTGAGTTTTCTCCCCCGTGGATGAATTTCACAGTGCATTGCCAGTCAGCTGGCTTAAAGAAGTTCTTGACTCTTATCCTTTGCAGGAGAGACGCTGCAGAACACACAGACCTTATGAATAATTAGGATGGCTAAACGGTCAATCTATAGAAAGAAAACATGAATTGGTTTAATAAGAGTATTTTATGACTACTACCAACTTAAATTCTTTTTTCACCTTTATGTGCATGTATTCAAATGATAAATGAAACTTATACATGGCATTAGGGTGAATATTCATTCTTTGATGCAATTGTACTAATATTATTTGATTTTCTGTGTCAACTTGCTGCAAAGGAATCATGTCAGTTTTTTGTGGGAAATCTAATGCTGTAAAAGCATAACCTGAGGTGCTAATATAAGCCTAATGCATGTATAAAGTATGGTAGATGAATAATAACACTTGACAGCAAACTATTTCTACAGCAAGATGTTTTTTGATCTTTTATAGATCTTTTTTTATTTAAATCTGATAAGTAGATAAGTAATTCTGATTTCTTTAAATCACTTCCAAAGCAAAAAGTTTTTGGCGTACCCCTGGACAGTTTGCCGTACTACAATATGGAATGTGGAAGTGTGCCAAGGTAAGAGAGCTCACTTATGTTGGAACTGGACTTGCGTGATTTCACTCGTCGTCTTGTAAATGTTAGCTAATTTTTTATTTTTTTTTTCCCACCATACTTAAAGCTTTCTGGTTGATGCTTGCATGAAACTGCTTGCACACGTTGAAACAGAGGGTCTATTCAGGAAACCAGGCTCAGTAGTTCGCCTAAGAGAACTCGGGGTGAGTGCTGACCAAGGATGCACTTTGGCTTCTTTTACAAATTGAACTTTGTGTTCTGTTGGAACTGACTTTCACAACAAAACTGTGTTTCATGTCTGCAGGCTAAGCTTGATGCAGGAGAAGAGTGTTTGGCAACAGCTCTTCCCTGTGATGTGGCATGTTTGGTAAAGCAGTTCTTCAAGGAGCTCCCAGAGCCCATTTTGCCCACAGAGCTTCAGGATGCCTTTTTCAAGGCCCAGCAGCTCCCCTCTGAAGAGGACAGAACCTCTGCTACCATGCTGCTGTCCTGCGTGCTGCCAGACAAAAACATTAGTGTGCTGCGTCACTTTTTTGATTTCCTTCACAGTGTTTCCCAGAGGTATTGAAGATTTTACGATTAGACTGTTTTTTTTTTCTTTCAATTTACTTGAATTTATATTCGTCTTAATGCAGGTGTTTTTTTTTTTACATCTTATTTCCTAATTACAGAAGTGCAGATAATAAAATGGATAGCAGTAATTTATCTCTCATGTTGACCCCAAACCTCCTTCACTCTGTGGACGGAAAGGAGAAGATGAACGCCAACACACACAAGCGCGTTAAATCGAAGGCAGCCATTGTGCAGTGCTTCATAGAGAATGCCCACAGCTTTGGTTAGACTTGAGGCATGCTTGAACGGAATTCCTCTTAGTTTTTGGGTTTGGCTTCTTGTATTAAATATTGTACTCATCTTGTGTGTTTCAGGTGTCCTACCTCAGTTTCTTCGAGAGAAAGTTCCTGCCATGATGGGCTGTGAACCAGGCACCACATCTCCCACTCAGGATGAAGCAGAAGATATGGAGCTAAACTCAGGGGTGAAGAAGAAAAAGAGACCCAGCTTTGGAGGTATGGTATAACTGATTTATTATATTTCATTTGTTTGGTAAATATTTTATCATGGGTGTCTTTGAAGGAGACCTTAAACTGAACAGCGGAAACAACTTAACTGCAACTTTGTTACCAAGCGACCATAAATAGGTGTTAATAGGGTTCCTACTCTGTCCAGAAAAGTGGAAAACTTTGTGATATAATTTTGATTGTCTGTGTCTAGGTGTATTGAAAGGCTCAGGGAAAAAAACACTAATTTAATTACTCAGCTTTAGTCCATATCTTAGCATTATAAAACTGATTTCATCCATCTGTCTTTTCTTTCCATCAGTTTGTCTTCCTGTCCTTCCATTTGTCTGTAAGAAATTCTTTCATCTTGTCCATTCATCTGTTAGTTTCTTTCCGTCTGTTTATCCTTCTGTCTGTCCTTCCATTTTTGCTGTCCTTTTAGTTTTGTTTGTCCATTCATCTGTCCACAGTCCTTGTCTCCTTCTTTATTCTTTGCTATTCATTCAACCCTTAATGGTAAAAACTTTGCTCAAAATCCTATTGTACACAATCAGATATACCTGATAACAGAGGGCAGAAGACTACACAAAAAATAATCTTGACTTATCGCATAGTAATAAATTATTAATATCAAAAATGTATTTCTGTTTTTTCTTTTTACATATTTTGTTAAAAGGCCAAATAAGGACTTTAAACCAAAAAAAGTAATTTTCTGTTTTGTTTTATTCTTGGATCGGGCTTTAAAGTGTTAAAAATGATCTAACTTCAAAGCCTATTCACTGTAGAAAAGGTAATATGGCTTCATATTTGTGCTTAATAAATAAAAAAAAAATCAAAATCTGAGTAATGAGTTGAATTTTTATGTAAACAATCGATAGAGCACCTGGTGTTAAGTTGTCCCCTCTTTTCTAAGAACTTCCTATTTATTTGGCTGGGTTTGTTGTTTCATGTTTCAGATATGGTCTGTGGTGCACTGAATAAAATAAAAACTAATAGAACTCCAACAAAAATCACCAAACCAAACAGTCTTGGTAGGTAAAGTTTTCACATGAGATGAGATTTGCATCAGAAAGCATGAAGATGCGGAATTAATCTATCTCTTGTGCAAATCAGATGACAAACCTTGTCTTGATTAAATGCTGATAGTTCTTTGTTCGATTTTTATTATGCTGTAATTCTCATTCTAATCTGCTTCTCTAGCACCTGTCATCCTAAGATTTCAGAAATGGCTGTTTTACGTTTTTTTTGCTTGTTTTGTTTGCATACGATCACCTACACATATCAGCTGGCTGACCCTTTTTGCTTTGGTTCAGAATAATGTTAATTAATTAATTAATTTTTTTTACTTTCTTGAAACAAATTCTAAGACTGAAGACATGTTTATCTGAAGTTTCCCTTGTTTTCCAGTCTTTCCTTCAATGACTCCTGTAACAACGCCGTCCTCAAAGAGAAAGCTTCCTTTCGACCCTCGTCCTTCGTTTGGCTTTTCAAACAAGAAGCGTAGATCTGTTAAAAAGAACCTTGGGATAGAACTGCTCCCCAGCACTTTCTCCTCCACTCCTGGTTCTGGTACTGTTCAAAGCTTGAACACTTTTTCTAATGCACTTTCAAATTGTTGGTAAGATTATATACATTTAGCATATATTTCAGCCTGCAGTGCTTCAGGAGTCCTGGAATCGTCCCAGCATGTTTTGTCGTCGGCAGGAAGGTCTATAAGGCTCCCATCTACCTCTATAAGAAGAAAGAGCAAACGGTTTAGCAACAGGCATGTTGTCAATAGGTAGGTTTTAACACTTTGTTTTACCATGTCTGCTGCTGTTTTCTGAATTGTTTGCAGATGCTTTAAGTTTCTCTTCTCTGTGCTCTAACACAGAAGGTCCATGTCATACTTCCTCAATAGTCCGATCCTAATATAGTCCCATCCTAATTCCTCTAACAAAGAGAACGAAAGCTGCTGAAAACTTAAAACTATCACCCATATGCAAGTTCATTTAATGTATTAGATCTGCATTTTCATTTCTCTAAAAAAAACAAAAATGGCCCCTGTGATCTTTGATCCTGTGGGTGATGTTGAGATATAACAGGTTGTAATAATAAGCTGAAATAGCCTAGATACATGCAGTACTAAATAATAGAATAGCTAAAATTATATACAGCTTATTTATCTCCACTTCTGTGAAATTATATTTGATGTCCTGATCCACTAGCTGGTTTACTGCAATAGATAGATATTGCAAATATGCAGTAAGAGGCTTGCATAAACCTGGCCAGCTAGACTGATTTACACCATATAAACGGCATTTGAGCCTGAAAAGGAGCGAGTAGAGCCTGATTTCAAAGGTGGAGTTAATGGAGTCTGCAGAAAGATATGGGAGAATTATCCTGCCATAATGCAAGAGCACATAATTTCAATTTGAGAAAAGAATTTCATCTTCTTGCACTCAAAACTTATAATGCTCACACTCAAAACATGAGCTCTCTCAAATATTTTCTCTTCTCTCTCAAATCTTTGTTTCTTCTCAGATTGGATCGGATCGTCGCCTAGCAACCTTTCCAGCCAATAGAACGACAGCCTCGGAAAGGGTGCGCTTGTTTAACCCTACTGAGTGTGCCTGTGATAAACCTTACCGACAATAAAATGGCCTTAAAATTTAAAAGCTATTAAAATAAGAAGCTGAAAAACAACAACAATCAGGAAAATAAAAAAAGGAAAAAATAAAGGGCGATTCAAGAATCACCAATGAAAAGTCATTTAATTTCTGCTGGAGGCAGAATTAGCATCTGCCCTGACTAGCAAACTTTTTGTTTCTTTTTTTTTTTTCTGACGAGCAACTCTGAGGTGGTAGTTTTCTGTTCACATCACGTCACGTCTGAAAATGCATAGCTCTTGAATTAAAAAGCCATTTTATTGTCAGTAAGGTTTATCACAGGCACACTCAGTAGGGTTAAACAAGTGCACCCTTTCCGAGGCTGTCGTTCTATTGGCTGGAAAGGTTCCTAGGCGGCGATCAGATCCAATCTGAGAGAGAGCAAAAAAAAATCCGCAAGCAGAGCCTACGGGTTTGCGAGCGTAACTGAGACTCGAGCAGAGCGCGGTTTGTGTGCGAAGAGAAGGAGGCAAGTGAGAGGAGAAAATATTTGTGCAAGAAGCATTAAATCTGAGAGAAGAAACAAAGATTTGAGAGGGAAGAGAAAATATTTGAGCATTATAAGTTTTGAGTGCAAGAAGATGAAATTCTTTTCTCAAATTGAAATTATGTGCTCTTGCATTATGGCAGGATAATTCTCCCATAGAAAGAGCTTAGAATCCATTGAAAAAGTATGGATGTAACGCTAAAATGTTTTTTTTCTTTTTTCTTTTTTAAAAGAAAAGCTCTGACAGCAGCCAGTGATTGAAACTTTAATCATATAAACAGTTCTTCCGAGACATTAGAAAGGTCATCATTAAAATATCACTCCGTTGCAGCTTCAATCTTGAAGTTTGCAGATAATTGCGGCTGCATTATTGGCCCGCCTCCCATGTTCTGATTGGTCCGGTTTGTTTTGGTGGAAATAGTGATTATTATTAGTAATATTAGCATATTTAATGGCAGATTGGTGTGCAGGGCAGAGGTATGGTATATTTATTCATCTAATTAATGGCTGTTTAGTTCTGATCATTCATCTTAGTTGGTCCATTATGTCTTACCAAGTAGACTTTTTATCGGTCAGTTGTATTGATTTATATTTCTTAATTTAGCTTAAGGCTTGTTTTTCTAACAGCTGTTTGAACCCATATCTTTCTCAGGATTGAATCTGGAAGAGCTGGCTGCTTTTCTCCAAAAGTCACCAAGAAAGAAGCCCCCCTTAAATCTCTGCGCTCGCGTTTCAGCCTGGGAAAGGGAAACAAAGATGCTGTAAGTGTGGGAGACCAGTAGAATCTGTGCCTGGACGCATCAGTGTTCACTATCCAAATATGTTTAAATCCACAGTAATACGCTAAGAAATCTGGGCACATGAGCTTTTCTTCCTTTTTTTTCTTTTTTTTTTTAAATTATACGGTGGCAGTGCAATCCCAGAAAATGTTTCACATGATCTGGATGGTATATTAGGACACAAATATAGACAGTATTCAGAGATTATTAATATATTTTTTGTTATGGAAGGTTAACAACTAAAACATTTTAAATGTTCTGATGATTAACCAGCAGAAGTGATGTACATGTAGAATCTTGTCTTCTAGAATATTCACAACAATGAAAGAGATTAACAATGCATTGCTTATTTCTTTACATAAAATGTGGTTTTTATATCGAGAGAAAAAAAGTTTACGGGAAGCTTCCTGGTTTGTTCTCACCCAGAATACCAGTGCTTGCTTTTTGCTTCATGTCTGACTTCCTGACATTCCCTGGCAAATGATCCGCTCACCATCTGTAACTCGTGCAGCAGTTAGATCTGATAATTAATCTTTAGTTGTGAACACATTTAAATCTTAATATTGCGGGGATTTTTGAGACAATATGTGTTTGAACCTTTAATGTTGTAATATTAAGGAATACATATTTGTGCCAAATACATAAAAATAAGGTTAAAATCTTTGGGTTTACTAGGTGCAGTGTAGAATATTTTTTTTACCCCCAAAGTTATGTATTTTATGATAAAATAAATTAATAAAAAGTTGATCCAAGCAATCAAAGTATCTGATTTCTGTCTTCAAACGAAGAGCTTACTCTTAAACCTGTAATTAATTTTTTTTTTAACACAATTCCTAACTTGGGTAACCTCTGTTGGGTCTTTTTAACAACTTAACTTCTAGCTTAACCCTCCTTTAAGGCTCTTTCCTTCCTTTCTCCTTTCATGGTGACGAAGGGGTCTGAGTCCATTGGCATGCGGCTTGCCACTCAGGAGAGCACCACGGGTTTCCTTTTCAACAACGAGTTGGAGTTTACTCCATCAAATCCTGGCAGAAAAACTGAATCAAGGGGTGAGTGCCAGAAAGTATAATGTACTTTTGATATTTTCCTTAAAATTTAACGCTCTACTAATATTAAACTGTTTTCTCTAATCTAGGTTCCAAATACATTAGTAAGTCAGAAGATAACCTGCTGACCCCCCAGTGTAAATCGAGTACTCACCAGGCCTCATGGATTGTGGAGACCCCTGTTGCAGCACATGCTTTAAACAGATTGCCATTCACAGATACTCCGCTAAACACATGTCTTAAGGGCAGTTACATGTCTGAGCCCGCCATTGTTTCCAAGCAGTCACCGGTGAACATTCTTCCCAAGAAGCTGTGCTGCGCATCCAGTTCAGAGAGCCTGGAAAGTGCGCGCTCGCTTACTGAACCGCTGGGACATGATCCAGCTATAAATATCCAGAATGATGCCAAAGAGCTGGAGAGTGACCTCCAAGCTTCAAAATGGGATTTCAACAGCCCAGCTGGAGAAATTGGGATTAAATCATCAACACAGGTTCTTGGAACTCCATCTTTGGCCTTTGACATTAATACCTCTTCCCCCTCAAGTCAGGCAGATGAAAATGTTACTTTTGGTCAATTCAATATTGAGGCACTCACTCCTTTGCATATTGATAGTGGAGTTTTTGACTATAATGAACCATTCAGTCCAGTCACTAACAAATGTTCATCCCCTTCCTTCGGTCGCTGTAGCAAATTAGGGTCAGTGGAAGGAGTGCCACAGTTGAACTGCAGCAGGCTGATTGACGCTTTGGACATGCAGAGTCCTGCTCATTTCACACTCAGTGTCTCTTCTGGGCTCCAATCGACTCCATACAAGCATGGTGTTGAACTTAAAGAAGAACCAAAGACACCAAAGACACCTGAAACTTTGGAAAGCAAACCACAGCAGGAGCTAAAAATGTCCCCAGAGGCTGGAGCTGAAGACCAACACCAACCGTCCACCTCACCAGATGGCCAGAAGACCAACAAACGCCGAGTGGTAGATCACATTCAACACTTCAACAAGCTCACCCTTTACTCTCCTCCAAACTCAAAGAGCAATCAAGTGAAATCTCCAATCAAGTTCCAGCGCACCCCCGTACGAGTGACTGTACGCAGGATCAACTCTCTGACAGGAGAGGGCAGGAGACCCAATAAACTAACAGATCACTCTGGCCCCGTGTCAAAGGCTGTGAGTTTAGAAAGTGGCCTGTCACCTCACCCAAAGCTGCGGCCTCATGTAGGGCGGTCTAATAGCACGGTTCCTGTAAAGAAACCCCCACCTGTCCCACCAAAAAGGCTTAGCACTTTGCCTCGAAAACTCAAGCCCTGCGCTCTGGGTGACATGACCAATAAAGTTCAACCAAAAGCCAAAGAGGAATGCATTGCCTCTGATCCACCAGCAGCCCAGAAACCTCTTGTTGTGCAGCAGGTTAAAGAGAATAACAGGAGCCATTACAGAGGATCTCCAAGAAACCCTCTCAACCATGGTGGACTTCTGTCTGCTACAAAACCTGTCAACTTATAGGAGATACCCATCTTTCAGATGTTTTTTTTTTCTTTCTTTGTTTTTGCAATGTGGGATAATAAATATTCTCCCATATTTTTCCTCTTATTTATTTTGCATTTGTTTTTTTTTCTGAGCTTTTTGGGAGATACTCAGATGCCTTATGTTAAATAACATAAATTCTGTGAGGTTGTTGAGATCACAATGTGCAGGATAACTGATGTAAAATGATAATAGTAGGTGGTATGACTGCAGATGTGTGAGCGTGATGCCTTTATTTAAAAGAACTCTTAACTTGGCATCTTAGGAGGAAATATTTTTGAAGATTTTTTTCGTTCTTGGTCATGAACTGAAAAGAAGCAAAACAGTCTGGATTTATGGATGAGAGAAAAGCCAAACAGTGTTGGTAAATCTACATCTATTCTTCATTTTTTTCTTTTCTTTTCCAAGTGCTGTGAAATGCTTTGGACAAATAAAAATGGCTTCATACTTCTGCAGTTTTAGTGAAATCTCTCCCTTCTGATGATTAGATCAAATTATTGTGTAACCACAAGGGGGCAGCATTTAGTTACTTCTCTGCTTCGGTAATGATTCCAGACCTCAGATCAAACCAGACTCAGGAATTCATTCTGTCAACGGGACCCTTGGATTACACCTAACTGGCAGTATTAATATTTCTTTGGCTTTTGAGAAATGTTTTTTTCAGTTCACAAGAAGTCTTAAAGTTCTTGTGCAAGATCAGAAAACATTTCTAGATTCCCAATCTGAGCCAAAAACTTGTAAGTAAAAACTGTTGAGAGCTTTAAAAAATATTTTAATTATATCTGACGCATTACATTTTAATCTGACAAGTTTGCAAGAGATTTATTCTGCCCTGTCTAACAGAAGCTTTGCGTGCCTTTCGTGTTTAGCATGATAAATTGGACTTGGATGGAGTCTCCTGGTAGGGTTTCTGTAGCCGCAGTGATGGGAGAACACTTTCTGTGTTTAGTTTGGATTGATGAAGTGTGAGGGTTTTATGATGAAGGATGCTTTACTGGCTTTTCTCTGAAAATGGCATTTTTTTTGGGGGTCTTATTTGAACTTCACTAAATTATTTTTAAATGCTGGCGTTTAAAGTAGGGAAAGAGATTTTTCTTTTTTAATGGTTAGGTATAAAAAATGACAAAATCCTCTCAATTTGATGGTACGAATTATGCTTAGGGTTTTTGTCAGTTGAATATACAAGCTCTCAAAGCTTTTATAAAAAGTAAATGATAAGATTTTCCTCTACAAATATATATAAAAACAGGTGAAAGAGAGTTGAATATTTTCAGGTTGAGCTGAGTAATATAATCACTAAAAGTAGTTTACTCATTTGCACTGTTTGACAGAAGGCATATTCAAATAAATGTTTCATTTTTACACACATTCCTATAAAGGTCTATAGATGTCAGAGCTCTGGGAAAGGCAGGGCTTTACTAATGATGACCTCAAAATCCAGTATGGCCGCCTTCAACAAGAAAAGAAAGGGTATCTTCCAAACCATAGTAAAAAAACTTCAGTTTCATGTTTCAGTTTGGACATGCTGGTCACATTTATTTATGTTTTTTGTTGTAGCTAAGGCTGCAACTAATGATAATTTTGCAAATCGATTAATCTGTTGATTATTGTTTTGATTAATCAATTACTAATTGGATAGTAAAAAGTTTCTTAAATAAGACTTCTCAACATTTAATGAGATGAATCAGTAAACATAAAAAAAAACAATCCACTGGACTTTGTTTACCCAGTAGATTGTTTTTTTTGGAATGACTATGACCTGGATAACAGAATCCTCACTAGCATAAATGAGGTAAGGAGTTCTGGATGGAGAGTATTGAAAGACGAAAAAGACTTTAATCTAAATGCAACATGTTTATTATTTTTAAAATTTTGGTATAATTGCTACTTGAAGTGGGTCACTGTCAGCTAAAGGCACGTTTTAGAGTCTCTACACTCCAGTTAAAGATTAATCGGTTACAAAATTAGTTGACGATTATTTCAATAATCGATTAATTACGATTAGTTGTTTCAGCCCTAGTTGTAGCTGCATGTACCTAGTGCTTATTGTCATCTGTTTAGGTCTTTAACATTATCACAGCACCATCCAAAGACTCCCGGCTTATTACTGAAGTGTCTATTGGTGCTATGTAGTGTACATACCCTTGTAAACTTTTTTCTAAGCCATTTATGAAGATGCTCTCTTTTTAAATGTGGATTAAGGCTGATTCTGAATGCATCAAATTTGATCACTTTGCTCTTGTTTCTTTACTTTTCGCAGAATCAACAGTAAAGACACAATTGATTTTACCTGTAGCACTTTGAGATTTTTTCTTAAATGTAAAGTGCAATAAAAATAAAATGTATTATTATTGTGGGCAGGAAAATAATTCAGAACTGCTGTAAAGAATCCGATCAGTCTTGAGCTTTTGGACCAACAGAAATGCACATGGAAGGTGCTGTAGTCAAAATTTGATAACAGCATTTGAAAAAAAAAAAGTTCTACAAATGTAGCATATGGCTGAAGCTCTGTTGTAAAATTCAAAACATTTGACATGTGTCTCAAACTGATTTTGAAGCAGCAATGTATTTTGATAAATTCTATGGTTTATGGATTCCTGTGCAAAATGAACTATGATAGGAGGCATACTACTGGCTCCTTTCCTACTCTTTCCTTACTGCCTACACTGATCATGCTAACCACTTTTGCTTTGGTTTAAGAGTCTTAAGAGCACACTAAAAATTAGATTTTAATGAAAAGGGATTAATGTTAAAAAATGCCAAATTACATTCAATGAAAGTGGAGGAAATTGTGTGGAAACCATGCATTTTCTTTAAACTCAGCTCAGGAGTTTTAGTGTTTATTTAAGATAAATCCCTGCAGTTTAAAAATAGGGCATTTTCACTTCTGCCACTTTGTACTGTATTCAGTCTAATACATGGCGCTATGCATCCATCGATCCATTTTCCCGACCCTATTATCAGGATTGCAGGGAGGCTGGTGCCTAACTCCAGAAAGCAACAGGATACACCTTGAATAGGATTCAGTCCATCACAGGGCAACACAGAGACAAACGGGACAAACAACCTTGCATGCAGACTCCTAACTTACTCCCAAAGAGCAATTTAGAGAAAGCAAATAAGAAAATATGCATATTTTGTCTGTGGGAGGAAAAATACATCTTTTAAAAGGCCCTGGGTGGTATTAAACCAAGGATCTACTTTCTGCAAAGAAACAGTGAATCACCTCTACTGCACAATCTTCTCTATATGAACATGTTCTAATGGTTTAAAGAGAAAAAATGACAGATATTTTTGTTAGATTGTAAACAGATCAGATCAAACCATTGGTTTTCTAAATTGTAATAGAGTCGAATTTGTTGTGAACCAAAAGATTTTCTTTTTTTATGTGTTTAATGTTTGTTTAGCGTGATTCAATTATGTATTCTAAAGATGCCGTAGGATTTTCTCACCAACCTCAAGACTTGGTTTTGTTACAAATAAATCAACTAATTCATGTTTTCCCCCCGCTCAGTAGTTTATTCCACACCTCAAAATGCTTTATAGAACAAAATGCAGGAAAGATAAAACACAATTTTCAGTTAGCAATTTCCTACTACCTCAAACATGTTCACATTAACTTTTACATTCAAAATATTTTAAGTAACTTGATATTCTAAATGGGGTTTCACTGTTAAAGAAAAAGGTTGGAAAATATATGAATTTCAACTCTATTTCCTATAAAATTCCCTGTGAAACTTCCTAATTGTTCAATTAATGTATACTCTCTCCATTCCCCTTGTTCTTCCATCTCTTAAACATCCGTCCCCGATTCTTTCTGTATTTTCATAATTTATTCCTCAAGTCTTTCCCACATTATTTTCTTTAGCCCCTGTCCTTCACTCTTACAACAATTCCTCACTGTTTCCTTGAATCTTTTGTTCTTTTCTGTTGCATTCTCCATTTAAACAAAGTGAGCTCAGATATCATTTAACCACAGAGTGACCATTACAGGCAAAAAAAAAAAAAAAAGGTTCAGATTTTTAAAACTTTGAGCCTGGAGAAATGTGGATATTTGACATATATAAAGGTTAGATACCTGGCATTGATCTAACATAAAAAACCTTTAAATTCCATAAATTACATTTGCATGAACATATTTTATTAAGTTTAAACAAATACTTAAAATAAAAATCCAATTTTTATTCTCATATTTACTAGACATGTTGTTAAAAAAAAGATTAGTTCAATTTGTATTTGAATTTATCAATGTCTCTTTTGATGCAGATAAAAGCTTAAAATAGCAGCAAAGAACAAATCAGATAGGTGAATCTTATCATTTGACTTAATGTTATTTAAAATGTAAAGCTGAAATGAAACAAACCTTTATATAATAATGCTTAAAATTTAAGTATATGTCACAAATTTATAATGATTACTAAACTACTGAACCATGGTGATCTTTCACCCTTTAAGGAAAAACAGGAATTTAGAGATTTCCAGCCATATAGAATTGCAGGTGTGATGTAATTTTATAATAAACTATTCTTCAGATGCGCATGTAACAATTTGCATATAATAAAAAAAAAAAGAAGTCTACAAAGGAAGGATACTTTCACTGTTTCCACTTCATCATACTTTATTCCTGCTCCTCCTCTTCATCCTCCCCTGTCTCTCCTCGGTATCCCTTGGTTTTCTGCGCTCTAGAAGCGGGTTCAGGGAAGTGTTGAGGGGGCGGATTGTCTTGATTTTCGCCGCAACGCGCTCAGCCAATAACTTTTGTGCACATCTCAGCTGGCAGACATTTAAAAGGGAGACAGTCCGGCGCTGGTGCAATTTGTATTAAACCCCCACATTGGCCCCCGTCTATGGAGTCTCCCAGTTATTCAGAGTAGAGACCAGGCGACCGCTGTAGGTGCAAGAGAAGCGAAAGACTGGCAGGATCGCATCATTCTTCTTAAAGAGTTTGGAGAAACGCCCAGGTATGCCATTGTCTACCTCTTAATATTTAGTTGGCAAGTTCAATTATGATTTATTTATAAAATATTTAAAAATATATATTTTTTGTTTTATATTAGTATGCTTTTGTACTAAAACAGCATTCGGTCCGTGCGCTTTTACGCAGCGCAAAAACTTTGACACCAGCCTGTGACTCTGTCAAAGATTACTAAATGATTATCAATCCTCTCTAGGGATGGCCGTCTCAGCGCATACACTGTGCAGTATGGTTTTCATCATTGGGCTGCTGTCATCTCCCGCGGATTCAAAAAGAAACCGAGCCTCGCAAGGGGCCATTCCTCATCCTGACAAAAACAACCCAAACGAATCGGAGAGGCATCCACAGCCCCCGCAAGCGGGTTCCAGGACCCGGGAGAGGCCGGGCTCATCCTCACCGGCCGACGAGGTACTGGAGTCCAGCCAGGAGGCTCTCCATATAACAGAGCGGCAGTATTTGAAACGGGACTGGTGCAAAACGCAACCTCTCAAGCAGACCATCCACGAGGAGGGCTGCATCAGCCGCACCATCATCAACCGCTTCTGCTACGGGCAATGCAACTCCTTCTACATCCCCAGACACATCCGCAAGGAGGAGGGCGCCTTCCAGTCCTGCTCGTTTTGCAAACCGAGGAAGTTCAAACCCGTGACTTTTACCTTAAACTGTCCAGATCAACAACCTCCTACCAAGAAGAAGCGCATCCAGCGTGTCAAGCAGTGCCGCTGCATCTCTATAGACCTGGACTGAGCATGGTGCATTCAGATGGTGCTGGTAGAGAAAAAGAGCGCCTGTCTCCATCTGGAGATATACAAGGACGTTTTTGAATATTCTCCTCTTGCACAAACTAAAAAAACAAACCAACAACTAAAAATTTAAAAACTCTATTTAATCCTTAGTTCCAAAACCCAACTGCACGGAAACGCAAAACTCCATTAGTGCACTTTTTTTTTTTTTTTTTGCACGGCTTCCTTACTTTACCAACAGCAGCAGCAATAATAAGTCTGGACTGAAAAACAAAACAAAAGAAAAAAAACTCTTGCATCCTCACACCAATCACTGTTTTTTTCCCCCTAAACCAATCATTAACTTAACGCATTATGTTTGTAGAACTGGATGTTTCCACTGTGTGGAGTTTGATGAATGGATATTTGTAATGAGATTGTGATTATTTTTTTATTTCGATATTTCAAGAATCTTTTGAGGTTAACCTAACTGATTTCTGTGAATTTCGAAGCTTATTGGTAAAATATTTCACTTTTATTGTCTGGAGTTTATTTACTTAGCCTTCAAAGTAAGGGCTCATTTTTATATATGTATTAAATCATTGTACAGTATTGGGTTAGTATTTGAGACTAAATAGTTTTAAAATGTAAAGCTGTATTGATTTAACCGGTTTGTGTATTCCTTTTGATTAAATTATCTATTAAAGCTCAATAAACTAATGCTGTTTTAGTTTTGAACTTATTCTAATTCTTGTAAATGACTGTATCTGCTGAGAAATTGTTTTACACTCTTAAAAATGCATGTAATAATAATGCACTAATTAAATGACTGAATGCAGATGAAGCCAAGTTGTATTTTTATAAATGTAAGCATTAGAGCAATGAATACATTTCTTACATGAAATTCATAAAAATATGAATGTAAACCGTTTAAAAGGATATCTGATTGGTTCATGTGAATGATTTAAAGATAAATTCTGCCAAAGTAATAATTTTAATAGGTTGAGAACACATCAATATAAAATATTATTTATCACTTCATGTAATTGATGCAATTTCTAAATGGTAATTTTGTGATACAGCTCAGGAGCAACACTGGAGGACATAGAGAAATCATGCAATGGTCCCGTTAACATGACATTTTGCTATTTCAGCATTAAAACCACTCTCTCATTGCCGTCTTTCTCATCCATCATTTTTGATATGTTAATCAGTCTGTTACTTTCAGCACCTTGTGCTTCTGTTGTGTACAGAGGATAAACATCTGATGTGCAAACTATGAAACCTTATGGTAATATTTTAAGTCTTGTAACCGTTCAAAAATATAGTTAAGAAAAGAGAAATTATTTTTGTTCAAATGTATTTTTTATTTTAGATTGAAATAAGCAATTTAACAAATGACAAAACAGTATTGCAGGCTAATGCCAAACTCAAAGAATTTTACTGCCCAGCAGCTAAAAGAATGATCAAACCTTCTTGACTATACAAAGTATAAGATTTACATGGTACAGGCCTTTAAAATGGAATAACTGACAGCTAAAAAGAGATCAAATAAAGTAGTTATCATCTTCTAGGGTGCATATTTTTGCCTTAATGGCTCCTCTTGGCATTTAAGAGTATATTCTTGAAATGTAAAACAATTCTATAAAAAATAATGCACCCCTGCAAATGGAGAAGCTGACAATAGGTCAACATACAAGCTACTAGTCCATAGCGCCAGCTCATTTTTGTTTTCCTAGCCACCTGAAGAAAAATAAAACTGTTAAAGGTTTTACATTTCCAGTATAAAAATAAACAACACCTGTAAACCAAAGTACAGAGAGTACAAAGGGAATTGGAGAGTTCTATAAATGAAAGTTCATCTGAGGTCCCGTTCCTTCTTCATTACCCAAAACAGAACCGTAGCAGCAAAAATCTAATCATAAAAGGCAGCACTGTTTAAAGTTTAAATATACACAACATCCCAGTAGCATTCATGTGAAAATATATTTTTCTCCTAGTTTACCAGGGGCTTACAAACGTATGAGAAGACAAGCTCAAAAAGCATTAAATCTAACGTTTTCAGCCATGAAATAATGATTTTTTTTTTAAAAAAAAGACATACTTTCTTTTCCAATGACAAAATATTTTTGCCAAACATTTGTACATAAAACTCATTCTTAACAATCGACTTTTAAAATAGAATTTCATTACTAACATGATTTTGTTTTAAATTAAGATTCAAATCATTAAATGATTAAATTATTGCATAGAAAAAAGGTGCAAAGCAGGAGTGCAAGCAGGCTGAACAAAATGCACAGAGGCATCATAGCTTAGAGTAGTGTTACAGCATACATCTACTACAAGCAGGAAAGTGCTTAGAACCGCACAAAGCACAGTGTGATGTAAATTTCTTATTCTTTTCTTATTTTTTTAATCAAAAGAAAGTGTAGAGCTAGGAGACTTGCAGTTCTTCTGGGGTTTTTATGAGTTTGTGTGTTAGGAGGCCGAGGCTTTACACCAGACTCGCTGCCAGCTACCACCCGCCTCTGGCTGCAGCCCAGTAGAGCTCAGTCTGGTGCATCGCAACACACAACACAGCAAACCATCTGTGCAATCCACACTCGAGGAGTCCATGTCTCTACTTGAAGGTGATAAATATTTATAATATTGCACAAAAGATGCACGGTCCCTGCAAATCTTTCAACATGATGCACTGACAGAACGTCTTTTTAAATAAGGCGGCCTAAATCAAAGAGGGTACTTACTACAAAAGATGTGATAACTTCCTGTTCTAAGGAAGAAAGATCTGTTTTGTCAACAGGGATTTTTCTCTAAGAAGACAGAAACAGGAAGCAGCATATGTTCCTACAACACCACCGGGGGTTGGAAAACTGTGAATTTGTCAGAGCATTTTCATTTTCTCTCGTAAGCTGTCTGAGGAAATTTAGAAAAGTGACAATCCACGGCTGCTGGAAATCCAGAGGAAAGCTTGTGGAGCTTACTGAGAATCCCAGTGAACCCTGGAGACCTATCCCAAGCTGGGCAATCAGAGGTCGTAGCATGCCGGATGAATGAGGTCAACCTTTGGCTTTAAACGTCCCATCACCTCAGCAGTGTTGGCTTCGGATTCTCACTGCATGAGCTGAGCAAAGAAAAAAAAAAACTGAAAATGGAGGTAGGGATGAGTGTGGAGGATAGGGTCGAGGTTGCAGTTAGTGGAGCAAAGATACAACAATAAATCTGCTCTGGTTTTATTGTGAGACAGGTGGTAAATGTAAAGTGGAAGAGGCCTGCAGACTTTCCCACATAACCATCTCTTCTTCTGCCTTGAAAGTCATCATCTTCTTCAGCTGGACGGCACATTGGCTTCCTTCTGCCTTAACCTCTCTTTCTGTTGGCAACAGAGGGAAAAGGATTAAGTGTATTGATTTCTGTACTGATGCAAAGTTAGGCAGCTTTTAGAAAACACTATTATTGAGCGGGAATAAATAGTACTTCTTACCAGACTGTTGGCATTGATCTTTTTGGTTTCCACTCTTTTTTCTGCAGTGATTTTCTTTATATTTTCTTGAGCTTCCTTCAACCTTTAGGAAAACAAAACCACAAAAATGTAGCCAATAAATATAAATTATCAGGCCATTTACAACCAGACATATGGAGGAGAAACCTCGTATTAATGTGTCCTTAATGAAAGAGGTTAGGTAACATGAGGAATTGATTTCCCTTTAACTTTTCTGGATTTTTGTTAAGTTATACCAACAACCTTCCTTGTATTCTACTATGATTTTGTTTTAACAGACAAACATGAAGCAGAGCATAATAATGGGTGGGAAGAAAAAGGATTATTTATTAGTTTTAGAAACTAAGACCTAAATACTTGATGTGTACGTCAAAAGAATGAATTATATTTCCAGTCTTATGTGCAAAAACAGCTCAAGTTCAGTCATATTAAAAAGTTAGGCCCTATGAGCATTCATTTTCAAGCTTTCCCACAGATTAAATAAAGGTCCTGACTTTGACTTGGCCATTTTATCATGAATATGATAACATGACAATCTTCATTACAATCATGATTAAGACAATCTTCCCCGTCCTCACTGAAGAAAATAACTCCAACATTAGGTTTAATGGCGATATAACATTTCAGTCTTTCTCCAAAGATAGTGCTGGGCACATTGACCAGTATTTTTTAATATATTCTTATCTGACCAGACTACCTTCTTCCACGTTTGCTGCATCCAACGAAAATCTCCTATTACATTATTTTCAGTTTTCCTAACACCCACATTTATGGAGATCATGACTAATTGTTGGTTTACCGCAAAAAAGTATTTTCTAAAAAGAGCACACCCTTAGAATTAAGAAATTAGCAATTTTTTCCCTTTTCATGTATTAAAGGAATAGTACACCCAAAACATGATTAGCCTTCATTTTCTACTCACTCCCATGCTGAACAACACTCTGGAGTACTTTTTTGATATCTCAAATGCATCTGGAGATCTGGGAGGCTTCTTGCTGTCTGCTGACATTCAAATAATGGAGGTCTATGGTGCCCGAGGCAGAAAGGTCCATAAAAGTCCACAAAAAACGTGTCAATATTCCTCCATACTGCTCGTCCAATGTATTCCAAGTGTCCTGAGTGGGTAGCGTCCATAATTTACTTGAAACTAAGTCATTTAGAATGTTTTTAGAGCATAAACAGTAGTGTATAGGATTTCCTAAAAGCGCGTTCACAACGCTACGGAAACCGCGGCAGACCAAACCAGACGAAAGTGCGCATTCAGCTCGGCAAAGAACTCATGCTCTTCCTCAACACTGAAGTCCTCAGACATTTTTCTTTCGTTGTTTCTTTCTTTGCACAGGTAAACAGCACATTTCTTCTTCTACGCTTGCATTATCGGCAGAGCAGACACTGAATGCGCACTTTCATCTGGTTTGGTCTGCCGCGGTTTCCGTAAACGTGCTTTTAGGAAATCCTATACACTACTGTTTAGGCTCTAAAAACATTCTAAATGACTTCGTTTTGAGTAAATTATGGACGCTACCCACTCAGGACACTTGGAATACATTGGACGAGCAGTATGGAGGAATATTGACACGTTTTTTGTGGACTTTTATGGACCTTTCTGCCTCGGGCGCCATAGACCTCCATTATTTGAATGTCAGCAGACAGCAAGAAGCCTCCCAGATCTCCAGATGCATTTGAGATATCAAAAAAGTACTCCAGAGTGTTGTTCAGCATGGGGGTGAGTAGAAAATGAAGGCTAATCATGTTTTGGGTGTACTATTCCTTTAATTTTAAATATTAAAATAACAAATTAACAGAAATGTATTCAAATTAAATTCTGAGCTATTTAAAAATTTGACTTACTTACGAAGATAAAATATATTTTTTAAAGTTAATGATGTATGATGTATGCTTCAAACAAAATAGGACAATTATTACATGTGGAAGTTTTACACTTTTAAACAGTACTGAATAAGTGATTTACAGATGAGTATTCTGCCAGATAAGAAAGGGTCATTATGTATTCTGACCACATACTTGTTAAGGGAATTTAGTATTTTTATTTAATAACACCATTCTGTTATCATTGATGTTATATTACTTCATTATTTTCTATGGAAATACAAATACCCTTTAATTTTAAACAATGTCATGATAATTAACCCCCCCTTGTAGCCCAACTGTAAATCACTACCCATAAGTCAACAAAATAACAATTGGGGTGTGAATATTTCTGCAAGACACTGCAGGTAAAATCACCAGGACTAAACTAACATGTGGATCCTTTTCTGAGTTTGCGGTCAGTTAAAGCCTTTTTAAGAGGGAGGCCGTTGAGAATGACAGTAGTTTG